CCCCAAAACCCCAAAACCCCAAAACCCCAAAACCCCTTTAATTTTCATAAACATTGCAAAAATTAATTTATAAAAAACATGTCCAAATTGAGAAGCATCCTGAAAACTAGCAGAAAACAGAAGAAATCAAGTTCAAAGGAAGAATCTTCACTTTCTCATAATACTAAAGTATCCAAAGCAGCTAAAATCAAAGAATCTTTAGAAGAACTTATTAATCTTAATGACAATGATGATAAGTCTCAAAGTGCTGAGCATTGTGTTGATGACAACTCCAATAGCAACGACTCTGTTCTCAACATTGATCAGGACAATGATGACGGCCAGCTTAATGACATTACCGACACCAAACAATATTCCTCTGGAGCCTCCCCAAGTCAAGATGACACCGAAGCAGCTTGGCATGATGCTCATGACCAGTCAGTCTCCATTGACATTCACAAAAACTCCAGAACCAAGAAGCTCCAAGAACAACACAACGAAGCAGCTGTGTCTGGAATCGAGTACACCAAGAGACTCCGCAAGTTCCAACACAAAGTAGCTCAGGACGACAAGAACGAGCTCTACAAATGGGCTTTCACTCCTGATGATGCTCACAGCGATGAAGAACACAAAGACAACATGCTGATGTCTCTTCTTAAGACAAACACCCAGATTTCATCGTCACAAAGCTACAGTCTGCCTAAGAAAGTGCTTGACTTCACTAGGCTCAGCCATGTGAATGCTGGAGAGCCTCACGGAAGTGTGGTCAGTGCAACGAGTTTTCATCCCACAAACAACTTGATGTTGTCTGGAGGCCTTGACAAGAAACTCAAGCTGTTCAATGTGAACCATTCGAAGTCGATCAGAGTGCAGTCGATCCACTGCAAAGACCTCCCGATATACTCAGCGTCGTTCATTCAGGGCGGAAAGCAAGTCATCTTGAGCGGAGCCAGAAAGCACTTCTATTACTACGACCTGGTCAAGAACGACTTGATGAAGGTGTCCCACATCTTTGGCAAGCATGACGAGAAAGATCTCAAGAAACTTGTGACTTCTCCGATGTCTCCTTACTTCGCTTTTCTGGGTCGAACTGACCCGAAGTGAGTGATGGTGATGTCTGCTCAGACCAAGCAGTTGCTGTTCAACCTTAACATCAGCTCGGGCAAACTACAAGACGCTGCTTTCTGAGGCAACTACATATTCAGTGTGGACACCAGTGGTTGCATCCAGCAGTTCGACATCAGGACGAGGACGGCTGTGTCGACTGTCGCAGATTCTGGCAGCTACAACTCTACTTGAGTGAGTGTGTCCAAATCGGGAAACTACTTGGCAACCGGAAGCTACTCTGGAATTGTAAATTTGTACGACTTGGGACAGTCAGGGATTCTTGAAGAAAGCCATAAGCCTTTGAAGTCAATCCGCAACCTTACCACAGCAGTGAATTTAGTGGAGTTTAATCATAACGATGAGCTTCTAGCTATTGGATCTAAATGGACTAAAAACGGGATCAAACTTGTCCATGTTGATAGTCTTACAGTCTTTGAGAATTTCCCAAGCTTTAAGAATAATGTGAAATACCCATTCAGCTGAGGATTCAGCCAGAATTCAGAGTTTTTGAGTATTGGGAATGATGAAGGAAATAACTACTTATTCAGTCTGAAGCATTATTAGAGGAAATGATTCAATAAATGGTAAAATTTAGGGGTTTTGGGGTTTTGGGGTTTTGGGGTTTTGGGGTTTTGGGGTTTTGGGG